TGTCACGTATATTATTAAGGTTCAATACTTAATAATGGGTTCCAATTTTCACCTGATTTCGAAAATTTACTTGTGGATTACATTGTTACTTTTCTAATCCATGTAATTATTATATTCTATATAAATGCTTAAACATTCACAACCGATCTTTAAATTCAACACAACTTTTTTCCCCCTTAAGAGCATGCAAAATATGGTAGTGCACAGAGAAATGTAAAATTACCTTACTGTATGGTTATCACATTTCTAGAAAGAAAAACCTTAATTTTGTTGTTGAAAACCAAAATATAAGGTATTTAATCAATTCATTTGGTATTTTTTATGCCAATATGGCAAGAGTTTTACGGAAATTCTGATTTATAAAATTACAGTAATTGTTACCTCACATTTAGAAAAAAATGCAAGGCTGTAAAGTAAATGTAACCGAATAAATGTTTTATGCCTTGCTTTATGGTATCATGATGAAATTGCAAACATTACCACATTTATCAAATTTTACCGTTTTAAAGTTAATTTTACCAAAATCCTTACCAAAGCACTTTGGTACGAGCATTTTTTTGTGTTCCCATATACCATATTTTAATAGTTTAGACCATACTTTTTTTCTTGTGTACTTTAAAGAAATATTTATGTAGCTATTGTTTATAAACATCGCAATTTTGATCATAATATGGAAAGTGTAAAAGATATTGAGCTAGAATTATTCAAGCAAGTGGCTGAGAACTATGGATCTTTCTAACTAAAAAAAGGTAATGTATGAAATAGATCTTAATTTTGGATGAACTAGCCGGTGAAAGGCCGCCAAATTATTATTATGATTAAAAATCATCATTAGCTGCTTCTTTACTTAATATTTCAGAATGAATTTCTATAGTAAGTAAACTATGAAAAAATGTACACTTCTTTAAATTGGAAAATATTTTTTTTAAGTGTTGATTACTATGTACCAAATCATCAAAAAAATTTCAGAATAAAGTTGTACATGTATTACGTTTTTTTTAATAAAGCAATTTCTGATTAAAAATTGAACTCCAGACGCTATAAAACTAAACAATTTAAATTATTGAAGTACTTTGTTGACTCAATAATTTTTTTGATGTTTAGACTGACTGACATTTTCGTAGAATTGTCAACTTGTACACAATTCATAAAAGTATAGTTTTTTAACAAGCTAAATAATATTTATTAACTTATAGTTGTAATAAGTTTTATTTCTTTAATTCTTTTCTTCTTTTAAACACTTGTTATTTTTGATGTCCTGAGTTCTTTTATGTATATAGGAATGCTTGTAATTTATTTTCGTTTAAATGATTTGTATAAATTAATCAAAATAAAATAACAATCGTACAGTAAATTTATGTGACAAGTTGTTAAATTACATTCTGAATAATACAGATATCAATGATAGATCTGAAATAAGCACCGCCTATGAAGTATGTCTGCTTTCCGGATTTTTTTTTTAGAATAAAGAAATAAATATAGACATTTCTTTGGAAGAGAAATCCAGGATTAAGAATAAAGGAAATAAATAGATTCAGTTAGAAATTAGATCACGTTTGGCATTTCCCATTTGTTGCAATCAAGTCCCATTGTATTGGAAATGTGGAGATAGCCCCCTACTTTCGATGTTCCCATCTTTAAGTAAAAGCTTATGGATTCTATTAAGCCGCATTCGAATAAAAAGTGAAAAAGGGCCCTGTCATTGAAGTTTATTTTGGTCATACAACACGTGTACGTTTCTTCTTGCGTACAAGTACCCCTTAAAAAATTGAACTGTCAATTAAGATAACAAATACGAGTACGAATAGTGCATGACAATACTAGAGAAAATGTTTCAAGCTTTTCTTTTGCTTTTACTCTCCTTTCTTAAGAAGAATTCCTAATTTCATTTTCGATTTTTTTTCGTTCCTAACAACAGTCGGAAACAAAGTGAATTCTTTTAGTATTTTTTTTCTCCATCGTTTCATTTTTCATGCTTGGTTAACTCACCAGCTTAATATTTTATTATGACATACTGCACGGATTTCTATTGATTTCCAAGTTGATGAAATATTTTTAACTTTATTATTTATGTCTGTAAATGACATTTTACAAATATTTTATCTTTGCTTTTTAGAAGCAGCTTTAACAGTTGACGAGACTGTCAATGATAGTATAGTTATTTTATTTAATATTTTATTACCGTCGTTGAACAGCCGACACAATTTTGGGTTTACGACTACTAATGTTCAACTCCGTAGCCTTGTAATTCTGAACCAAAACGGAAGACAAGGAAACTCCTGGATTAGTACCCCCAGAGGTATGATTTTGTTATGGGAACATGGCGAAATTTGCAACACGACAGATTTAACGTTTATCAGTCACCATTTATCACATGGGGAGTCTGTCTTCGGTCGGAGGGGATCGAACCCACAACCTCTAGGATATAAGCACAGTGCCCTACCAACCAGGCTATCCCGGCCTAGTACAGTTTTTATACAAAATGAATAAAATTTAATTTCAAGTTAACCATTGAATCTTTTCCATTGTTATATTCTACATTCTGGATTAAATTTTTACAGCATATTGTACGGATTCTTATTGATTTCTAAGTTGTTGAAATATTTTTAACAAATTTTTATCTTTAATATTTAATATTTTGAACGGCATTTCACAAATATTAATTTTTTGCTTTTTGGGAGAAGAAACTTTAAAAAGTATTAATTTATTTTACGAGTGTGTCAATAGTACAGTAATTGAAAAAAAGTACAGTAATTGAATATAAAATGAATAAAATTCAATTTTACGATTTTAAGTTAACCGTTGAATTTTTTACATCATTACATTATCATCCATTCCATTATCCTTCATTCTATATTTTAACATAATTCTAACTTTAATATTTAGCATATCGCAAAATTCTACTTATTTATTTAGTTATTCATTCATTTATTTATATATTTGTTTCAATGAATGCTTTTTTTTCTGTTTAATTTGTTAGCAGAAATTAGAAGAAAAAAATTAAATAAAAATTGGTAAAAACAGAATTCTTTGTAACTTAACAATTTTATAGCTGAAAAATTTTGAAGAGAAGTTGAAAGTCAAGTTTTCTCCTTTACGATAAAATTAAAAATAATTTATATTTTTTATTTAATATCAACAATTAAAATATATTTCTCTAAATTCAATTCTCTTCAAATATCTCACGGAAAAAGAATTTACTTAAACAAATAAATCGTAAAAATGTTTTAATGAGATCATGATATTATAAACATATTTTACTAAGTTTATGGAAAACAGCTTAAATTCAATTTATATACTTTTATTTATACTAGAAGAATAATATTACATGGATTTAAGTTGATCCTTAACGAACAAATTCATTTTTAAATGCACATTAAAAATGGTCTGTAAGACGGGATTTTTTATAACTCATCGAGAGCAATGTTGCGTCTTTTAGAAACTTAAATTTTAAAATGAAACAAAATTTTGGATACAAAAACAAGAAGAAATCACGATTTCCTGGAGAAAAATGCTATTATGAATGAGAAAGAAATTTAAAAAAAAGCAGTGGATTCTTCCAGATTTCAATTCCTTTTTCAGTTTTTTTAATTTCGAAAAATACGTTATGTGCTATTATGTTATCGTTTCTTCACATTAAGTTTAAACCTTTATTGATTATTTCAATGTTCTGAACGCACAAAGACGTGTGCAATTACCATCGTACTTTAAGGAAATGGGAATTTCAGTAAATTTCTCCAAACGTTTTAGCTAATTGATGAAATGAAATTCGTGATGTTATAAGGGATATTACAAATTGAATAATGTGTGTATTGTGAGCTGAGTTGAATTTTAAATTAGTTACAGTTATTGTTTGAAAAAATCTACTTTGTTTTGGAATCATACTAAAATCATTAAAATCAGTTTGATGTAAACATGTTATGAATCCTTTCACTATAATTAATGTTATTAAGACCCTTTATGATTGATATTAAGGTATGTATATTTTAAAACAATATCATATTCATTCACCCATATTTAAAACATGTTCTTTTGTAAAATACTTTAAATTATTTTTGACTATTTGATAAAAACAGCTTAAAAATATTCTGCTACAACAAAAGAATTTTCTAAGTAATTGGAATAATTCCTGAATAGTTGACATTCTCATAAATAAAAATTGCAAAAATCTATTCTCATTCGAATTATCGATTTGTTTGAGATCAGATCCAGATTTGGTGGGGAAGCTGGTTTGTTTGGTTCATGTGAACTTGATTGTGGAGTTCTTGAAGTTACCAGAAACATGATTTGCAGCTAATTTTTTGTAGTGCAAAAACGAAAACTGTGGAAAACTCATATTGTAGTAGCTCACCTTTTGTTTTTCCGTCGTTTTCCTGAGTTTAGGCTCAAGCTCAAATACTTATGTTTTACGTAATCTACTGTTTCATCAGTTTTTATTTTTTAATAGAATGTTTGGTTTTTTCCACCGATAATATTTATGATAGATGGACTGATTCCAGCAATTAGTAGCTATTTTTTTAAAATTTAGTTTTATTATTATTATTATCATTGTTGCTATTAATTCACAAAGGGCAATTAAGAAATCTCAATTTTTTTAACTAAATATTTTCTTCACAATTTTCATAATTAAATAGAAATTACTTCTTGAAAGTTCATAAATCGTCTATGTAATGTGATTTATAACAGATTTTGACAATTATGGTTTTATCCACGCATTTTTTTTAATACTATTTAATGAATATTAATCCCGCAACTTGTTTTTTCGTCTTTTAGTATTTCCTTCACCAATCACTAATGAATTAAGATATGGGCCTTTTTCTTCTCGTTGTAATTGTTGCGTGAGTCTATCTAAATTATATTTCCACATAAAAAGTTAGAAAATTTTAAATATTGCAAAGTTATATCTATACAGTGATCAATTCATTTCAAATGATTTCGACTTGTCAAAAAATCTAAAAATGTCAAAACTTCTTGTAATTTAAAATACAAAAATGACATACCAGACCAATATAGCTCCTTGTAAGACCAGTAAAACCAAGAATGGAACTGGACAGATTCTTCTGGTCATCATGGAGCACTTGAGGCCTGCGGCCCCCACAGGGGTGCATTCACACCTATAAGCAATAATAAAAGATTTATTATTGTCATTTGTCAAAAGATATTAAAACATAGAGACATGAAATAGTTTAAGAGTTATTTAAGAATTATGCTCAAGGAAAATTGAAGTTTTTTTTTAAATTCTAGAACACATTGTTTAGAGCGCTTAATCATAGTAAAACCCTCTTTAAGCTATGAAAAATGTTTATTTCAATAAAAAAAAGTAAAATATATAGGGGGTCCATAGTGATCGCTTTTAACCCCTTAACGATTGGTTAATTTTCAAGAAAACATCATTAAAGTACCTATTTTTTGTCACATATCACAAATACACGTATTTGATTAGTGCTGACATCTGGTTTAAAATAAACTAACTATCTACAATTACCTTAAAAATATCCTGGTACTGCTACTGATGTGCAAAATGAGAAATAAAATGTTTTCCGGGCAAAAGAAATGAATTAGTTTTATTCTTATTGGCGCGTTACTACTGAACATTCCAACCCGGAAATATCACGGGAGCGAGAAATAGAGGGCGAAACCTCACCCCGTCATTTTCACTGGAGCGAGAAGGACGGGGTTAAAGGAGGATATGGGCTTAAGGGGTCAAACGAAGGGTCAATGGAAGGAGAGAGAAAAGGGCTACCCCGGGCTCTTAAGCTCTGAAAGAATACGTACCAAAGAGAACGTATAATACAAAATATAAAATTATAGTACAGAATGGAGAACACCTTCGTGTGATCGTGGGCCACTAGAGACGGAAAAGCGCGTTTCATATATGTGAATACGCATGTGATATACGCATGTGATCACGGTCCTGAAGAAGTTAAGAGTCTTAAACTGACAATGAAGTGATAGAAAAAAGAACATTATTTGCTTTTATATCATATCAATCAATATTGGTGTTAATAGAACCAAAGGGAGATAAACTAAAGAAATTCTGATTCGTACCCACAGTTCCAATGACACTACAGGAAAATAACGCTAGCTAGTTTATTTATGTATTTATTATTATTGTTTATTTATATATTTATTTGCATTTTAATACTGTTTATTTGCATTTATTATTGGTTATTTATTTATTTATTTGCTTTTCTTTACCCTAGTTATGATTGGCCTGCATTTAAAAAGTTTTTTTTCTCTTTTAAACATGAATTTGTGACGAAGTATTGCACCATTGAATCAATGGAATCTTGAATTTACTTTATATTACGTCAATGTATTGCAGAAAACTTTCAAACGGTGTACAACTATTTCATCAAATTACCACAGCAATAGTAAATGCAATTAAGTTCAAGACTGTAAGGGGAGGTGGAGTGAATCTGCAATCCATGACTGGATCTGCAATCCATAACTGCAATCTATCTGCAATCCAGGACTGAAATTATCATCGATTGTGGCTAGTGGTGCCTTCCTATTATGGACATATTATGACTGTTCGTGTTTACTTGAAATGGTCTCTTTAATTACTCGAATACCTTCGGAGGCAAATTTTAGAAATTTTAAATTTAGAAAATTCTTTTTTAGATTTATGTGTGTATTACACACTAAAACACAATATAATAATACAAAAATATGAAAAAAAGTTTTTTAAAGAAAATATGGGGGAAAACTGTCAAAAAAAGAGCAAAAATTAACCTATTCTATAAATAACATAACTTTTTAAAAAATTATTATTTTTTCCCCAATTTTGCTTTGAAATACTTATAATATCTCCATTAAGGAAATAGACTATGCATTAGAAATAATATTAATATTTAGAAATTTTGTGGCAAATATCGTTACTTATTTGGCAAAAGGAGCCAAAAAAATGCCATTAATTATTTTTACTTTAGCTGTAAAACAAAAAATAATAGTTCCATAGCTTATTTCTGAGACATATATATAGAAAACATTCATGCAAAATTTAAAGTGATTTAAACAAAAATATTTTGAGATATTGCATTTAGAATGAAGGAAAATATCGGAAAAATGACTATTGAGAAAATGGACAAAAAAGACAAAATTTTCATTGCATTAATATTTAATTCATTACACAACAGGAAATATTATTAAAATAATATTGTCATACCTCTCTAATTTCTAAAAAAAATATTTGCAATTTTGTTGATGATTTAATTCTTTTTTAATAAAACTATTTTATCAACTCGAAATAACAGATTAAATTGTGCTTCCATATTTGTATATATTCTAGTTGTATAATAATAAATCAATTAAATATCCAATAAAGCAATAACTATAAACTCGAGTAGGATAAACATGTCAAATGTCTAAAATACACATTTACATATATTTAAATGTAACGATTTTATCACTATGATAAAAAGCAAGTGCATTTGATATTGAGACAAACTTATATTTTGTAAGAAGTCAAATTTGTGTATGTATCATATCAAAATCCATCTTATATGTCATGCCTCATATCAATAATTCTATTTCCAGTAACCAATTCAGAATCAGCAATATTGCTTTTTGCAGGTTTAGCTTTCTAGTACTCCCAGTTGAAGGAGTAACTATATCCGAAAATCTTTTTCTTCAGTGAATCTGTTTCCATAAGACTTTCGTTTATGTTTTCAGTGAAGAATTTCTAGGCATTTCGAAGCCAGAAATAACAAACGTAACAATTAAAAAGCAGTCAACTTAATTAAAAAATATAACAGAAACAGTGAACGTAGCAAATTAACAAAAATATTATAACGAAAATTCAACAAAAATAACGATAATATAAAGCAAAAATGTAAGAGCGCAAACAAATTCGAATATAAGCAACCGAGAATAGAAAGTTTACAGCTAGTGATGCCAGATTTATTCGAATATAATATTGTAAAAATAAAGAAATGTGGTTGACAGATTTGTTTCTTATAATTGAAAACTTATTTTATGTTTTAAGATGAAATTCGAAAACGAAACTAGTGAAAAAGGCTTACTTCTGGTTTAAATAAATCAAAATCCATGTTTTTTTAAATCATCCTAACTTCTGATCTTTTTCACGTAGAAGCAAAACTCAAACGGTTTTGAAAAGAAAAAAGTTCAGAGTTTAATTTTATATCAAAAACGGAAAAATTATATTTTAGTCAAAATTGTTTAAAAAAAAGGTAGTCGGGTACCTTTCGGTAATCGGGTTTTATAATGAACCCTGAAAAAACTGCATTTTCCTATTCGAACTTAACTAGCTGTATTATCGTTATTTAATGATTTGTTGACCACATTGAAGTTATTTTAGATAAAAAAAAATTGTCTTTATTATGTAATGTTTATAGGCGCAAAAATATTTTTTTTTGTTTAAAAATAGTAAATTATTGCAACGCATGAGTTATTTTAACGTATTAAGTTACGCATATTTTATGAATTTAGTTAAATTCACTTAACATGAACTACAGAAGCATTTCCTCCGGTGGAAACTGCTACTTAGTGAAGAAAAATTAATGATGTTTAATTCTTCTCTTTTTTTTTATTTTTGCATTAAAAGAAAAAAAAAACTGAAGCAAATTTTATTAATGAACAAGAAGAGTTTTCTTTTATTTTTCGATACTCAGAAAAATAAAATTCCCCAAAATAAAACAAATATCAGATAAAAATAAATGATAAAAATCTTATGAACTTCCATAAAAAGCCCAATAACTACACTTTTTGAGATTTACGACAAACCACTTACAGAACGTTCAGGACCAGAAAAGCAAGGGAAAAAATTGTGTTTTCCTGGTTCAGAGAAAGCGATCGAATGATCCATAGCCCTATTCACCATCTATCAGTCTCCTCCCCTCTACTAACTCTACCAGGGGAACAACACAATAGATGGTCCTAGTCTTTCAAAAAAGAATGAAAGAAAGATAGAAACATGGATTGAGCGAACGCGTTAAGAAGTAGAAATATTTTCCTAGGAAACAACACAGAACGTAAACACGATCTGTAATTCCTTCAAAGATAAGGTACTGCTACTGATGTGCA